TTAAAAAAACTTAAAACTAAACGAAAACGTAAACGTAGTAGTAATATATATATATATAATATTTTTTTTTTTTTTTTTTTTTTTTTTTTTTTTACAGCTTCCGATTGTTCGTTTTCTGCAAGTTTAAACCGATTTTTCTCTCAAAATTGCCAAAGAAATTGAATTTGGAAGAAGTCAAACAGATTTGTAACCACATGTGTGTTTACTTGTGCGCTCAAGATCTCTTGCAAGTAAAAGACCGGTTTAATGATCTTGATTTTAATGATAAATCACCTTGAAGATTGTATTTCTCAATGTTGGCAGATTCACCCTGACTGTGTACGACGTTAAAAGCTCGTTTATCTGAAGCTTTAAATTTGATTTCAGGAAATGAGGATTGATGCCCTTTCTGGATTTATCAGCTAGCTATAATTGTACGACTTGAAACGACACATCTTTAAATACCAAAAACAATTTTTCATTAATGTACCTGAACATTCAAAAACAACATATACATATATATATATATGTATATATATAGGTATGTCTTCAATAACAGTTATGCAAAACAGATGCTAGGCTCATAATTCCATGCATGATCATCATAATTTAAATTCATATAGCACTTATGCGGATCCAGTTTCATTTCGCTGTACTGATCTCACAAATGCAGTAATTGCCTTCAGAGTATGGCCAAAGAATGTAATAAATGAGCGTAAATAAATTTGGACCAAAAGACATGGCCCATTAGACCATCCATCATGCTTATCACACGAATATGTGCCATGGATATAAGTATGAACATTAGAAACCGAAAAGCAAGTAAACAAACGTTATCAAAGAACGAAAAAAAAGTAAACATAATGATTGTATGTTAAATTCTTTCAGTACCCTAACAATTAAGGTCAAAAACGGCTTCACGCCTTTTTTTCTTTCTTTCCTCAAACTCTTATCGCTTACCATGCATAATCCTTTGCAAGTAGTTATCTGCATTCGACGTGCTGCTCGCTGGGCCTCCCATACCTCCCGATGAACCAGGGTTCATTGGATCTCCATAGACATCAGCAGATTGATACATACCTTCAGAAGGCATCATTGTGTTGTTATATCCTTGCATATAGTAACCAGTATTCATAGGCATATTGGGGTCGTAATTCATTACCCCAGGATAGTTCATTTCATTCATTGGCATTGCGGTACCTTGCTGGGACACGTCACCGTATTCCATCCAAGTATTTCCCAATGGCATTTGATAATTATTTGATTGCATCCCCATTTGACTTTGCATAAACGGTTGTCCTGTGCCTTGAAGTGGAATTTCGCCGGAAGAAGGGGGAGCCAACCCAGTCGGCTGAAGTTGCAAAGTTGAGGGTTGGGCACTGTAAGAGGAAACTGAAGGATTATAAACATCTGTTCTCAAGTTATAAGGATCTGTAGATGATTGAGAGAAATTTGTGCCGGATGCACCGTATTGAGGTGAAAGCGTAGAACTTAGATATTGCGATGAAGGATTTGAAGGTGCATTGTTTGACTCTCCTAAAGATAACTTGCTCATATCCGGCAATGAGATATTATCTGTCATATTTGGATAAGAGTTACCATAATATAAACTGTTGCCATTGTTGGGATAATTTGTGCTCGCAGACATGCCAGGCGTCGAAGGCGCTGCTGAGGAATAGTCATAAAAGGGATTAGAACCAGTTGTGTTTGAAGGAAGTGAATAATTAGAATTGAAAGGGTAATTGTAATCATAGGAAGCAACCCCAGTATGAGAGCGTTGTAAAGGTTGAGCAGGTGGTGGTGCGGCAGATGATGAACCGGTTTGTGGATACATGCTGGAGGAGTCTATACTATAAGAAGGCATGCTCATGTTTTCATAGGAGGAAGTTGCTGCGGGACCTGTCATCGACGGTTGCAAGGGTTGATTAGGCTCTACCGGAGCCCTAAAAAACGGACTAGAAGTGGTTTCAACACCAGGAGCAACAGACATACCCTGATTTGTCATTGCCATCATCTGTTCAAATGGATTTAAAGTAGGAGATGTCGCACGCGTATCACCGACACTACCGTCCTCATCGCCTGGTTTCGAACCATCTTCGAAGCGCACGTGTAAATTTTTATTTCTTCTAGAAAGACGTGCTGATGATATCTTTGGAGCCTTGTAAGAGGATCTTGAATTTGGTTTCATGGAAGAGGAAGAGGCAGAATTTGATGTGTTTTTTTTCAACTCCTGAACAATTTTTTCAACAGCAACATTGATATCACCGTGTGCCTCTTCCAGCGCTTTCAAATTAATTGTGTCATTTGTAAAACCCATGTCATGAATAGCTTTAAGAGATGATTTGTAATTCGATCGAGAACTTGAGGCGCCAGCAGAATTAGCAGACGCGTTTGATCTAGGGGGCAAAGAAGGACCTTTTTTATTCGTAGTTTCCTCTAAGAATAGCTTTTTTTCATATTTATCGCGAATGTATTTTTCCATTACGCTGAAGAAAGCAGGTTAGTTATTGATGTTTTCAAAAGCTTCTTTCCAATGGTATCCGCTCATTCTCAAACTTACTTATCATCACTATGAGCGTTCATAGGCAAAGGATGATCCAGAGGACTGGGATTCCAATAACGATTGGCGTTAATATTCCCCCAGTCGCGCATATTCTAGGAGCAAGTTAGAAAACGATACTAAAATCTTTCATACGTTTCAGCTTACATTTACTTGCTCATCTGTCCATTGATCAAGCGAAACCGACTTTATTTTTGAAACATGAGTTCCAAGCTTTCGATGAATTGTTGCACATCGCAGACACAAAAATATACCTATCCAAGTTAGCCAAGGAATGCTGATATCCACCTACCTAGGTTCCAGCTGGCCCATTGAACACCACGCGTATGGCAATCTGCACAAATGTTGTTTCCTGGGACAGACTGAATGAGATGTCGGATTGTGGTTTCATTTCGCCGTCCAGACATTCCCGAAGCCTCTCGAAAGACAGCAAGCAAAAATTAATGTTATATAAATAAACAAAGAGAAAGGCTTCGTTTTTAAGTCCGTCTTTTTGATGTATTTGAAAACGGATACTATTGACCTTGAGTACTATACTTTAGGGACTACAGCTTCCTTTAAGCTAATGCTTTCAGCGACCTTATATTACATAACGAGAAAAATGCCCTTCGGTAAAATGTAAAACAATGCAGTTGTAATCATTTACAATGAATGAATTTCTACATTATACCGAAGGGAGCTTTTGTTTTGTAAGTAATAACTCGTATATTCTTGTTATTCTGTATGTGAGATTTCTATTAAGGATACTAAAGGAAAATCTCATCTTTATAAGGTCAATGGAAAAGATGTTACAGTAAGGAATCAATTTCACATAAACGTCAAAAAGTGCATTTGTATTTTGTTTGTACTATAGAAAAAGGTTACGAGGTGTGAATTATTCATAGTTACAAGAAATCATAGAACATGTCTCTAAAATTTTAATATTTCATTAAGAAATTCCGTATATTCTATTCAAGTAATGAGTACTTTTATTCAAGAAGTTATCGTCGTGTTTCACATAAGTCTAGAAAGCGTGTCTAATTAAAGTTTGAAAGGCTTTCAATATTAACAGGGCGACAATTAGTCATTAAGGGATTAATGTAGCGTTTTATACCATTATTTTTTAATAATTGACCGCTCTTAAAACGACATTCTCAGAACGTTCCATTTCAGTACCATTTGAGTAAAAGGGCTTAAACTTTTTCAAGTCGGTGGTTACACCAACTCTGCCATCTGTCAAGGTTAAGAGTCCCAACGAATGGAATACTCCATTATCTGAGTATTTAAATTGGAATTGACCATCATCATCCTTGTAAATTTGCATAGAGTACGCTTTCTTGTCGTCTCGGTCCATTCTGTAGACGGGTTTCACATCACAGCACGTTACTATTCTTCTGCTATCAGAATCATACACGAAAGTGTGCTCGCTATTTGTGTAGTTGGAAGATGCTATCGCGTAATTGTTTTCATCCAAATGTACGTAGGAAGGAGAGATATCGTCATTTAAAACTTGAATGCGGAAGGAGTTGTCAGAGTTACAACGGCTGTTGCATGAAGGGAAGACTGAGGGAGTTGGAGTTGGAACATCTACTAATACTGTTCCGGTTTTGGTACCACTTGGTGTCGCAATCGTTGAAGTAAATCCTGTAGATCCAGAAGTAGTGGTTGTTGTTATCCAAGCAGAGGGAATGTCAACTAGTACAGTACCAGCGGATGTGCCGGTAGGGGTGGCAATAGTAGAGGTAAATCCTTTAGAGCCAGAAGTGACTGTTTCAGTCACCCAAGAGGGAGTAGGACCAGGAGTATCAATCACAACAGTACCAGCAGACGTGCCTACAGGAGTAGCAATAGTAGAGGTAAATCCT